ATGGGGGGTTAAGGGGGTAGGAGAAGAGTAAATGAAACAAGACGGGATGGGAGGGAGACAAACCATAAGTGACTCTTAATGTCACAAAACAAACTGAGGGTTGATGGGGGGAGGGGGGTTGGGAGAGAGGGGGTGGGATTATGGACATTGGGGAGGGTATGTGCTATGGTGAGTGCTGTGAAGTGTGTAAACCTGGCGATTCACAGACCTGTACCCCTGGGGATAAATATATATGTTTATAAAAAATAAAATTAAAAAAAAAACAATAATAAAATAAAATAAAACTGAGTGTAGATTACGAAAGAAATATTTTTAAAAATTCTGCATTTGTGACTAATGGTTCCATATTTACAGATTTACCTAAATTTCTTGTTTATTAGTCAGACGTATGTAAAGTACAAAGATAAAAATGACTTTTGGCAAACCCTATTTATCCTACAGTAATTTTATTCCCAAATAATTCTTTTGTTTCTGTGGTCCTCCCTATCTAAATCTATTTTACTGGGAAATCCTTAAAAAATTTTTTAAAAATTAAGAAATTAAATATCCTATGAAGAACAGTATCTTCCTGCAAGACTAGAAAAGACAACTAAAGTGAAAAAGCACTAATATAAAATATAGGTGGTAGATCCAAAGTTTAGTCTTAGCTACACCAAACAGCTGAACGGATATATTACCTTAACAAAGCTCAATCATTACAGCCTTAACCTTTCCTTTTCAATGTGAATGCTTATTCATAAGCATTCTTTGGTTATTTCCTCAATTGCTGAGACAAATACACTAAGTTTGGTAAAGACTTTATTAAAGCTCACATGGGTTTTGCTCAAACTTCTGAGGAGACCTTAGTCACCCTATTTAAAATTCTAGTTTCTTTCCTCTCTTCCTCCATGGCTCCTGACCTATCCAACACAGCATATATATTTTGCCTGTGTTTATCATTTATCTTCCCTTTCCCTTTTTTTTTTTCTTTTTTTAGATTTTATTTATTTGAGAGAGAAGGAGAGAGAGGGAGTTAAAAAGCAGGGGGAGGGGCAGAGGGAGCTGGAGAGGAAGAAGCAGATTCCTGGCTGAGCAAGGAGCCCCATGCGGGGCTTGATCCCAGGACCCTGAGATCAAGATCTGAACCAAAAGGCAGATGCTTAACTGACTGAGCCACCCAAAGGCCCCTCCCCTCTCCAAATTGTAAGGCCAAGGATTTTTTTTCCTATTTTGTTCGCTATTAACCTCATGCCCAAGAAAGTTCTTGCCACAGGGTGAGCGTATCACCCAATCTAGCTGAAACAGACCTCTTTCTTGTGTAGCATCCTCTAAATGTTCAAAACCGTAACACAATGTGGCGACTTCATTTCACAGATCTTTATATTTATAGTCCTCCTTTTCTACGTTTGGTTCTTTGCCAAAAATTTTTTTGAAGATTTATTTATTTATTTGGGCGGGGGAGAGGGTAAGAAACTCAAGCACATTCCCTGCTGAGCACAGAACCTGACATGGGCCTGGATCCCACCCTGAGATTAACACCTGAGCAGAAACCAAGAGTCTGACACTTAGCCAACTGCACCATCTAGGCGCCCCCAGCTTAGTATTTTTTAAGTGAGGAAGTTATACATAAAAATTCCCTACAGTTTCAGTTTTACCAGGTATTAGAATGTCTTGTCCATTTTTTTTAACTCTTTCACCATCTTTTAGTAATTATCTCCTACAATAGTACCTAAGAATTTTTCTCTTCCTCCTGTATACTCCCAAATAGCGTCTTTCTGCACCTCTACTGTGGCATTTTTAATTATATACCTTGAATTAAGAATTACCTATTCTAAATTCTCTGCCAGATGAGTTCTTTAAGAATAAAGTCTTAGTCACACTTCAATTCTCCCACAGTACTTATAGAATGGCTACACTAGTTATTATAATCCCTTGTCATTTACAGAGAATTTTCATATATACATAACTTAATTCCACATTAACATTGTGAAGCAAGTAGTATAATGGTTTACAAATGAATAAACAGATTCAACAGCTTCATGCTCCTTCCTCTAAGCCACGATGACTCAATAAATATTGCTGAACTGGTCAAATAAAATGGTCCTAAAAGACACACTGTAAACTACGAAGTGCTATATAATGAATGTACATTACTTCAATAAGGAGAATAGCCATTATTTTCTGATTTAAGTATTTAAATATAACAACAGATGGGAAAAAATCCTATATACACTTAAACAGAATAAATTTTAAGTTTGCTTATTATTCTTTCAAATTTTACAAAGTAGTGGGCTTATAAACTCCAATTTCTTTAAAAGACACAAAATATGCAAATCTTAACACCTAATAATTTATAAGCACTTAACTGTTAAGTATATTAATTACTAAAGCACCATGTACTCATTTTAATTCCAAACATAGCTTACCAGATTCATCTATATCAGCATCTTCATCCCACTCCTGAAAAGCACGACTTTCATCTTTTCTATTTTTCACCCATTCCTCATCAGGTTCAGTATCAAGTTCAGTTGCTGGACCACTATACCAGTCACCTACTCAACAAATAAATAAAAGGAACAAAGTAAGATTAGACCAGCTACCATTAAAAAAAAAAATTTACCTATTTACAGTAAAAATCTCTGCACACAGAAAATACTTGAGCTCTAGGCAATGGGCCAGCAATTGTTAGAAATGTTCAATTATGGTTTAAAAATTACACTTAAATAATATGCAAGAGAATTTCAGACATACTAAAAAGAATTATGAAAAATAATTATCAATAGTCTTACATGCAATTTTAGAAATCATTGAAAAGAACTTAACCTTTTTCCCCTACTGTGGCTTCACACTGGCACCAGCAATACCCTCCAAATGATGATAGCTAATAAACAAAAGTAAGCAAAGACTTTCTGCTCAATAGTGAATAGTCGGCAATTCAGCAATAGATAGGAACATAGTCAAAGGGGAAAGATTAAGGTAAAGCTAAATCATAAATGTAAAGATCCTGGAGATTAAATTATACAACTGTGAAGTAAGAGACAATGCAGAATTAATTTACTGAACTCTTAACATTACATCTAAATTACAATTTCTCAATCTTAACAGTACTGACATTCTGGGCTGGGTAATTCTTTGCAGTGGGGAGCTGTACTGTGCATTGTAATACGGTGTTTAGCACAAACCCTGACCTCTACTCACTGCAGGCTAGTAAAATCCCCCCAAATGGGACAAACAAAAATGTCTCCACAGACATTTCAAAATGTTCCCTGGATGGTGGTAAAAATAAATTCTGATTGAGAGACACTAGAAACAAACACCATAAATAAATTAAAAAAAAAAATTTTATTGAAACTTTTTGTTTAAACATTAAAAAACAGAGAAGCATATTTAAGATCGGTTAAGATCACAGAAGTCTTGTACAACACTTTTACATTTGCTCTTTACATCAAATAGTACCTAATTATGTGCTAATCCCTATTAATTAGTTATAAATAGTTAAAAATATAGCTGAACAAGAAAGTATTAAATATATCCATATTTCTCTCGACTTCTCACTTAATATTTCATTTTCCTCCAATAGGAAAATTATTCTACATAAAAATAATAATTCTGGGGCGCCTGGGTGGCTCAGTCGGTTAAGCAGCTGCCTTTGGCTCAGGTTGTGATCCCAAGGTCTTGAGATCGAGCCCCACATCAGGCTCCCTGCTCAGTGAAGGGAGAGCCTACTTCTCCCTCTCCCTCTGCCTGCCACTCTGCCTACTTGTGCACTCTCTCTCTCTCTCTCTCCGTCAAATAAAAAAAAATAAAATCTTTAAAAAATAATAATAATTCTAATCATTTAGTAAGTCCACTCAATACTTCAAACAGCTTTGCTAAAAAATTATCCAAGAAGTTATTTTAAAGATGCTATATATTAACATAAAAAGTAAAAATTTTTAAATTCAATTTATAATTATGTGAGAAATATATATTTCCATGTCAAAATGACAAATTACAGACAACAAAAAAATTTCATTTAAATGTGAAGTTAAAAGAGTCATTTAGAAGAAACTGTTTTAATTCAGTTTCATACAGGAAAAATGTATGCCATATTATTTGCTTTTACTCCATGACTGCACTATATGCTCATGAAAAAGAAATTTTCTTTAATTGTTTACAAGTAAAAGTAACTTATCACAATGAAATAAATATGAAATTGTGATTTAGGATGAGGCATTACCAATCACCAAAAAATATGCTGAAGACAAAAACAGAGTCAGTTATTCTGAGCCACTACCAAGGCAGCCCTAATGGTGCTTCATCTTTAAATTTTATAGAATTTATTCTCTACTTTTTTATATAATTGTTTAAATCTGTTCTGACAACCTATTAATTTCATTTTAACTCCAAACACAGGCAAAAGCAGGAAGAAGTAGCATTTAAAAAGTAGCATAATGAATACCCATCACCTCATCACCGATCTTCAACAATTATCAACATTTTGCCAATTATTTTGCATTCTCTCCCCTATTTTTTTCCTAATTATTTTAAAAGAAATTGCACACATCACATAAATCACCCATGAATACATCAGCATTGCTAGTTTTTCAAAAGTGTATACAAAAAACACATCATCTAACTGTAAAATCTACTTTTTGGTCAACCTCTCAGAATTTCCCTCCCTGACCCTGCTTATTAATGTCTACAAGTAATCACTTAGAAAAATGGATTGAAGTATTTTTAAAACAAACTAAAAGTTTCATTTACCTACCTCTAGCCCAATGAACAGGGTAAAGATGTTTCCAAAGCGATCCAGTTTTTGCGAGCTGAGACCATTTAGTGCTTACTTGACTGCATCGACACAATTCTTGAGGATTAAGATAACTGAAAATTGACAGCATTACCTCAGGAGGAAGATGGGTTATACCTGTGGCTTGTTCTGACACTTCCGCTTCTGAAATAAAAAAAAAAAAAAAACTTTAACATTAAAGGCTAGAAGAGCAAATGCACTAAAAAATTACAATCTCATTTCTATAAATAAAATCCAGTGCCTAAAGTCCCCTTCTTCCTGCTTCCAAGATGTGAAAAGGAAATAACATGGATTAGTGGTAACATGGGGATGTTCAACTTGTTAAGAACCTGTAGGGTTAAACTATGAGGTCCCAAATCATACTTCATCAGTGGGAGCTACAATAATGAACATAGAATTGACTTCCTCTTACAAAGGCGTCACAGAAAAAACAATACTCACTCTGTAGCATAAGAAGCATCATTTGAAAAAGGAACCCAGCAGGTTATACAGCTTCAAGTATAGAGTCAGCCAGATTATGAGATCTCCAAGGCATTTTTAATGACACACACAAATCTCATAACACGTTCCATTCATGTATTAGGACTCCTGTCAATATTTTCCTTGTGCTCCCTCTTTGATTTTCACATTTGATATAAGAGGTCTGTGAAATCTAACTTCTGTAACCACAGGTAACCAAACCTACTTCTACTATTTGTGAGCCAGCTGAGACAATGTAATGTTAACATTTCTAAAGCTCGTGTACATTTTTATGGGCAATCTTTTGTCAGCAACTATTTTAAAAAAATAGCCACTGAATGTCCAATTTCCTATAATAAATTACTTCAGTAGCAATTTTCCCAAAAATGCAAATGAAGTGCTACAATAAGAATACAAACTACAAGAGATTCATCAATAAGGACTGCAAAGAATTTGAAGTACCCTGTACACCTGATTTGCCCTCACAAAGCAACTTAAATACAGAAATGCTGCAATCACATTACTTTAACCCAACCTTTTTCAAATGGCAAATACTTAATCATAATACAGCTATAATTTGCTTTGAAGGAGTGGGAAAACTAAATGTAATAAGTGTGATGCTTTTAAATCCCATGTGAGAATTACAATTAAACTAGACACAACAGGTCTTGGCTTGGTGTCGAAGGCACAAGCTGCATTTCAGAATGAAGCACACAAGCTTTATGGGTTTAATTATAGGCTCACCCATAAAAACATTTTTGTTTCAACATGCATCTCACCTACTTTGTTAAATAAAGAGAAAAGGACCAATTTCAAAGAATTTTAAGCTATTTTAACAGGACTGTCACTGTTATTGCCCATCTAGAAGCAGAAAAGAAATTTTTACTAGCCTGAGGATGCCAATTTCCTTTAATGATGTTTTAAAAGGCAAAGCTATCAAAGATCAATAAGTATAAATATGAGGTGGGGCACCTGGGTGGCTCGGTGGGTTAAAGCCTCTGCTTTCGGCTCAGGTCATGATCCCAGGATCCTGGCATCAAGCCCCACATCGGGCTCTCTGCTCAGCAGGGCGCCTGCTTCCCTTCCTCTCTCTGCCTGCCTCTCTGCCTACTTGTGATCTCTGTCTGTCATATAAATAAATAAAATCTTAAAAAAAAAAAGAATAAGTATGAGGAAGTAGTCTATGAATTAAAAAGGCAAGCAGACTTTATTTGCACTTCTCATCTGTTTTCTTAAAGTAACAATACATAGAAAAACAGTGTTCTCATACTTGCTCCCTGTGTATTACTGGATATTAGTTAAGAGAATAACACATGGAAAAGGATGGAAATAAAGCTATAAGCATAACTTATTTTAAAAATGGATGGACAAAACAAGGAAAGATAAACAGTCACTATGGTCAATGGAGCTCCGAAAGCTGGATGATGGGGAGGAAAAAAAAAGAAAGTTGAGTAATACTGCAAAAGTACTCTGTATATGATAGCTTTCACTGATTCTGACTGACCAAAATAATTTTTATTATTATTATTATTACTACATAAGTTCCTTTAAGAAACACTACACTGCATGTGGCCCAACATTACATTGCATATGGGATGTTAAATTATCATAAACCACACCAAATTCTTAGAAACTAGTGTCTTCGGGGCACCTGGGTGGCTCAGTTGGTTAAGCATCTGCCTTTGGCTCAGGTCGTGATCCCAGGATCCGGAGATAGAGCCCCACATCAGGCTTCCTGCTCAGCAGGGAGTCTGCTTTTCTCTCTCTCTCTCCTTCTCTGCCCCTCCCTACCACTTGTTCTCTCTCTCAAATAAATAAAATCTTAAAAAAAAAAAAAAGAAAATAAATTACTGTCTTCAATTAAATATACACTTGAAAATAAATGGCTTAAAACTATTCTTCAAACAAAATCTAAAGTTCTTATTAACAAGATGCAAATAGCCTCCAAACTTCTCACTATTTAAATATATGAATCTCACCTTTATCTGACTTTTCATCCACAGAATATTTAAAAAACTTCTGTCGCTCCTCAGCTTGATTCCACAGGCTAAGACCTCTAAGGAGTTCTGCGGTGTCCTTCTGAGAGCAGTGTTGTGCAATCACTTTCTTCTTAATATCCTTAAGCTCTTCATAGGTAAAGTATTCCATTAACATTGGCTGAAAAACCTAAATGAAACATTCATAAGGAAAGATGCTTGACTAATTTTGTTTACACCTTTTAATTAATGGCTCAATTGCAGTATTATGACCCCATATTTCCAAGAGAAAGAAATTTTGGTTATTGCCACCCAGTCAGCTTATCCAAAAAAGTGTAGAGAAGAATAACACCAAAAGGACCCTTCCTTCTATGGCTTCTCTGGCTAATAAATCCCAAGTAATTAAAAAGCATCAGAAGCAGAAGGTTTTCCTATGCAAAGCTGTCAAACACTCTTAAGCAGTCTCATATGGTTAGACATTTAGGTCAGTTAACTGCCTTCTGCTACTCCAGCAACTGAACTGTACCTCAGTAGGATCTCTAAATCACATAAGAAAGGTAAAAGGTACCCAGTGTACTAAGAACCCTAAAACTCAAAGCTCTACTGAGACCCTGAACTACCTACATTTCTTCTTTGAAACAGATGCTTAGTCCCAACCTCCAATTTACAGAATTAGAATCTTTAAGAAATGAAGCCACAGGTTTGGTTTGGTTTGGTTTTTTGATTTTTTTTTTGGTTTTTTTTTTTTTTGTTTTTTTTGTTGTTCCACACATAATTTTGATGAGCATCTCAGGTTAAGGAACACTACTCTAGTAACTCAGTGGCTTCAATGCTGGTTTCATATTACAATGACTTGGGGACCTTTAAAATATATCCAGGCCAGTACCTCTCACCTGATTTAATCAGTCTGGAAGAGCTGAAAAGTAGGTTTGTTTGTTTTTTTAAATAGAGATCTGATTATAAGGTGAAGCCATGGGTGATATTCACCATAGTAACTGATTAACAACTAAACAAAAATCCCTTTCCCCATAAAATAATTTTTCTATTCCTTATCCTAATCCTAATATTCACCCCACATTTAGAGAAAGAAGAGAATGGGAAAATGTTTTGCTCATCCAATCAGTGATATCCTAATACATGTGTACTAGGAATAAAACTGATTAGTTTAACACTACCATTTGATTACCAAAATCCCCTACAAAAAAAAAGAACACGAAAAATACTTTAATGTTAGCATTAATATACACAAAACATTGAAAAGTTTCAAGAATCCTGTAAAGGTTCTAAGAAGACATTAAGGTAACATGAAAAGTTAACATTCAATACAGTGCCATCTACATAATAGAAAAAAAATTTTTTTGAACATTTTATTTATTTGAGAGAAAGAGAATGTGAAAGAGAGAGAGCACGAGATGGGGGAGGGTCAGAGGGAGCACAGACTCTCTGCTGATCAGGGAGCCCAGATATGGGACTTAATCCTGGGACTCCAAGATCATGACCTGAGCTGAAGGCAGTTGCTTAACCAAATGAGCCACCCAGGGACCCACAGAAAATAAGTATTAGTTGAGCAAATGAATTAAGTCACTGATTGAGTGAAAAGCAACCACCTCTCTGAGAGAACAAATTTTGTTTTCTTGGAGTTTTCCTCTTTTCCTAAAATGAACCAGAGGCTTATCTTCCTATGCATTATTTTGAAGAATGAAAGCCAAAACATCTTAAAAATTTTGTAAGTCAAAATCACAAGAAAGAAAAAATTATGCTTACCTCCTCTTCCTCTTTCATGTGAGGAAGAAAATCTCTTGTAAAAGCCTCCAATCTCTCTTTCAGCTGTTTTGCATAATTTAACTGCTCACATTCATTCTAGAAACATAAAAAAAAATTATATTCTATAAAAATGTTGCTTCATTATTTATACTGTACTGATCCTAGGAAGGTGCAACATAAAACCTCAGGGAAAAAATAGACTGAAGAACAGCAAAGTGGTCTCTGTATTTTTTGTAGCATAAAAGATGTCCTTAAAATATCTTGCAAAGGAACCCTGAATTTTTAGTAATGTGATCTAATACTTCTTTAAAATGTTATAAAAAGTCTAAAAATAGCAACTATTTGCTCAAAACTTCTATTAATTTCTAATGTATACATTTATATAATTTCTGTGTTTCATTTTTCTTAACCTATGTCTGAGCAGTCTCCAAGAGCTTAGTGGACTCGATCACCAGAGTACCTTCATACTCATCCAATGTACCGTCCAATACACAATCCACAACATCTGTTATGCGGATAGCAGATATTTATGCTAATGGAAGACCATGTCTACTTCAAAAGGTCAGGTATCAAACATACCTCTAGGTAAGAGGCTTAAGACATCTTGAAGTAAATCAGTCTAGATCTGGACAAAAGCTAAAAGGTTTTCTCAGATGAACTAAGATCCCATCTCCTCCCTGTATAACAGCTATCACTTCTACATCAGCCCTCTCAAGTTAAAACACGTGGAATTTTACAAAATAATGAAACTTTTAAAATATAGGAATATTGTATCCCTGCTGAGTCTCCTCCTTTATTTACTAATTTATTCAACTGCTTCCCAATACTTCATCCAAAGTCCTATTCTCTGAAGATTTTATACATTTTCCCTAAGCATCCCAAGTGGCTTCCAGTTCCACTTCACCTGCTAAGAATGATCAAATTTGCTTTTCCAAATCAAATTACTCTTCTCACTCTGAAACCCATCTACACCTCCTCCTGTTAACAAATACCCACCTGGACTGCACAAGCAGTTCAAATCCAACATGTCCAAAATGAATCTTTTTATTCCCCAAGCCTTTTCTATATTCCCTAGAATTTTAGGCTCAATTCTCATTCTTTCTTCCTCTTTCTCCTTTCCCTTCCCCTTTATATGCATGCCCTACATGCTACCAATTATATATCCTACATAATTCTCATGTCCCCCTCCTTCTATCTCCACTAAGCCATTACTTTAGTTCAGATCTTAATCATTTTATTGAACAGGTAATATATGAACATGATATAAAACTGAAAAAGTACAAAGAAGTATTCAATAAAAAGTAAATTTCTCTTCCATCACTACCCAGTACTCTACCCTTACCCAATCGCCCACTTTCCCACCAAGCAGTTACTAATGTGTCTTCTTCCTGACACTATTTCAATAATTTTGAGAATGGTCTTCCTGCCTCAGTCCTGTCTTTTCCTTCAACCCATTCTCCTCCTTGCTGCAGAAAAGTCTTTCTAGAATATAAATCTGTAAGTGAAAAGTGTGTGGGGTTTGACACAGTTACAACTTAAGTCTATGCTTCACCAAGCCAGAAGGGAGCTGTAAATGAAGATCAAATTTCAGATTTCTATAATATGTAAATATAATTGAAAGGAAAGTCTTTTTATATCATTATCCTAAACTATACTCAAATATGGCTAATTTTATGTTATACAATTAAAAATTGTCCTGTTTAACAATCCCTGCACCCTAAAACATGGAAAGGAAATAAACATTATCACTAACATTCAATTTTTCAATAAATAAAATTTATAAAAGTATCCACTCTAGTAATAATCTCACCTTTAGTCACCAATAACTACATTTATTATAGCTTTAAGAGTTGAACAAATGTTACCAGAAAGTAAAAATTCTATGGTAATTAAAATTTCGACTTACAAAAACAACTTTAAGATTGGGGAAGAGCACTCACTATAAAATTTTATATATGGTAATGAGGAGGTAACTGACAAAGATTCTCATCAACCTGAGACAGACTCCTCTGAGCCCCCTTCTCAACTAGGCCTCAACAGTAAGCTCTGTCCTTGGCCCACTTAGTCCAGTTTTAGCTAAAGTCATTCTGAGTCAGTTTAGCAAAAATCCCTCTACCCTAGGCATCTTATCATCGTCAGTATCTATCCACCCTCAATATCTTATCAGCCTGGTCTGCCTTCAGCAAAAACCCTCTTTAGTCAGTCTAGCAAGATTCTCCCTAGCCTTGACGCTTATCTTAGTAATTTTCCTGAACCCCCACTCTGCTCCTTGGCTATAAATCCCCAGCTTTCCTTGATATATTCAGAGTTGAGAGTCCAATCTCTCACCCCTACTGCAAAACCTCAATGTAGTAATCCCTTGAATAAAGTCTTCCTTATGGTCTTTTAACAAGTGTCAGAATATTTTCTATAACATAACATCGTTTACTATAAAATGCTAACACTTTTTGCTGACATACCAGCAAATGACACAAACTGTGATAAATACCCATTTTTGTAACTCACCTTAACATTCTTCAGTCCCTTTTCAAAGAGACTAAGCATCTCAGAGAGTTTATTGTCAGAATGTACATTATAAATGGTCTGGCTGCGTTGTTGAAGCAAACCAATAATGTACTCATTTTCGATCTGCTCATGCATTTTGAACTCCTTAAAAGTAGCATACAGAGACTGCAGAAGAGCACGGAAATCATTGTTGTTGGAAAAGTTCGTTTTAGAAAGCTGAATAAAAATTTAAGAAGAAAAGCATAGTAAGTATATGTAAATATGCACCTATAAAAAATACTCAAATGCATTCCTATTTAGTTTTAGGAATACATAGCAGAATACCTCTCTTACACTTGGTTCAAGTACAAATAAGAGAAATTCATAAATTAACAAATTATAAAAGTATAATAAAAAGTACACTAGGTCAGGAAGATACTGATTTATATTCTGAAGGGCTTGATGGTACAGGTAAATGATGGTACACCAATATATCACATAATTTCTTTAAACAAAAGGGATTAGACCAACTCCCTCTAAACCTAAAATTCCATTACTCTATATACATACTAAAAATACACACACTCTATAAAGTTGTATGAAATTCTAAAACAGTTGTGTTAGGATAACATGTAAGTGTTTTTGTCTTTGTTCAAATATTCTTTATGTATTATATTACTTTTACAATGTAAAAATTTTAAAATACTCTCATAGTTTGTTTAAACTTTAATATCAAAAGGGGTCTGATCTGTTACAGAAATAATTATAAAGTGTTGAGCTATTAGAATATTACTAGACAATTTCAGGGGAACTAGTTTTGGGGGTTTTTATCTTAAGAAAAATGGCATAAACACTTGGCAGCTTATATAAGAAATCACATACTTTTCTGAGGTAGAGGCACTGTAATAGTATAACGTTCAAACCTAGCAAAAGGACTGAAGGAAAGCTACAAATCAATGAAAATACAAATCAATGAAAATACAAAGAAATGTATACACTGTCATATTCTTTAATTCTACTGTTCAACCAAAGAAAATGACTATTTGTATGTAATTTTAATTTTTTACATTTAATGGCAAATTAAATTCTCATGTTTAAATGCATACATCTTATCAAGAAACCTGATTCAAATTAAAGCTCAAAATAATATTCAAATCCTCCATTACCTCCATTGCCATATTAAATCTACCTTCTACTGTTATCAACTCAACTCCAGTTTCAAAAGTCATTTTAAGGGGCACCTGGGTGGCTCAGTGGGTTAAAGCCTCTGCCTTTGGCTCGGGTCATGGTCTCAGGGCCCTGGGATCGAGCCCCACATCGAGCCCTCTGCTCAACAGTGAGCCTGCATCCTCCTCTCTCTCTGCCTGCCTCTCTGACTACTTGTGATCTCTGTCTGTCAAATAAATAAATATTTGTTTTTAAAGTCATTTTAAGAGGCAAAATCTGATTACAATAAAAACACAGACTGTGAATGGAGGGCAAAAAGCTACTAACACCACACTTCTAGTCTTGGGTTTGTCAAGTCTGATCCAGTATTCCTTAAAATGGAGTAGACGCTAAGCTGCCTTAATTGCCTGGTCTCAGGCAGGAGTAGCAGGCTTATGACAAAGCATCAGAAAAGACGGAAAACTCCTAAAGCCGAACTATTCCACTATACATAGCAGAATTAACTAAATATCTTCTGGAAAATGCACTATGGATTAGGTATTAAAAGTCATTTGTAGGACTCCAGAGCAGATCCCAGTTCTATCATTTACTTAGCTCTGTAATCCTGGGTTACTTTCCTCCTTCAATGTCTTAGTTTTTCTTCTTGGTGTTTAAATGAGAACAACAACATCTGTAGTTTACATGGTTGCTGTGAAATTAAAATGAATTGGTGCTCAATAAGCATAGCTCTCACCATTTTGAAAATTAATCATTCATTTTTATAAATTCATGCATTGTTTACTCTATTCAAATGTTTAATGAGCAACTATTATGAGCTGGGCATTGCTTCTGGTACTCAGGATAAATACATCAGTGAGCAAAATTGCTGCCTTTAGGAAGCTTACATTCTAGTGAAGGGAAGTAACACAAGGAGCAGTAGCCACAGTAAGTAAGTAAATTATCTAGAACAAGGGCTGACAACTTTTTCCGTAAAGGGCCTGAGAGTAAATATTTCAAGTTCTACAGAGCATACTGTCTGCAGCAATTTAGCTGCGGTAGCATAAAAGCAGTCTACGAATGAGTGTGGCTATGTCCCAACAAAACACTATCTAAGGACAGAGAAATGTGAATTTCATGTAATTTTCACATATTAAAATATATTATTCTTCTGATTTTCTCCAACTATTTAAAATTGTAAAAATCATTCTTACTCCTGAGCCATACAAAAACAGCAGGCAGGATGGATTTCTTTAAACCAATGTTGTAGATTTTATCCTAAGAAATGCTACACAAGACCACATAAAAGTTACTAGAGGCTAATCTCAAAATTAAAATTTTAATTAAAAATAAATCTTAGTAGAAATAAGAGATTAATCTAAAGAAAACATGATATTAGCTATATAATTTTTAAAAAACAAAAACCAAAGCATAGCAAAAAAATAAATTAAAACCCTCATATGACTTAACATTTTAAAAGACATGCAGGAAATTCTGCATACATTCTCATTGGACTGTTACAAAATCTTCAGATTTAATAACAAGCTAAGATAAAGACGAGGCTCATACTATAGATTGAGAACCCAGTAAGATGTATAAGAGAACTCTACATTATTCTTAGTCAATCCAGCTTAGTGGCTAAAAGTGCTGACTCTGGAGCCAGATTACTTAGGTACAAATCCATCTCTGTCAGCAAGTCACTAAATTGCTCTGTACCTCAGTTTCTTCCATGTGTAAAATATGGTTAAAAATATTAAATACCTCACAGGGTTCTTGTAATAATTTAATAATATATCTAAAGAATACAAAATCTAACCTGTATTAAGCCCTACTTGGGTTTTTCTGTTATTTATATAGTTAGCCCATATGAAACTATCATTAGAAGTCCTGGGTGGCTCAGTCGGTTAAGCATCTGCCTTCTGCTCACGTCATGATCTCAGGGTCTTGGAATGGAACTCCACATAGAGCTCCCTGCTCAGCAGGAAGCCTGCTTCTCCCTCTGCTGCCACCCCTACTTGCACGCACACTCTCTCTCTTTCTCCTTGTCAAATAAATAAATAAAAATCTTAAAAAAAAAAAAAAAGTCCTTATACTGGGACATCTGGGTGGCTTAGTCGGTTAAGCGTCTGCCTTCAGCTTAGATCATGATCCCAGGGTCCTGTGATGGAGTTCTGCATTATGCTCCCTGCTAAGCAGGAGTCTGCCGCTCCCTCTCCCTCTGTCCCTCCCCGCTGCTTATGCTCTCTCTCAAATAAATAAAATTTAAAAAAAAAAAAGTCCTTATACCACACAAATCACTATATTTCCACTTTAAATGAGCAACTGTTTCAACCTGGTACCTAAAAGTCAGTAAATTTAGCAGCTAAAAGATAACCAGAGCACATGCAATTTAACATTTTAAAAATTTGTTTATATGAATTTTTAAAATGTTGTTTGCCTCTACAAAGTTATTCAAACATACAAATTTGAGTGACACAAAAATAAACCTAGACATTAATATCTGTGACATACTCAAGTCTATGACACACTATGTACTATACTAAGTATTTTAAGATTACGCAGGTATAAAAATTCCCATTTCACAGATGAAGAGATGAGGCTGAGAAAAAATAACTTGCCCAAAACCATACAACCAGTAGACAACAAAACAAAGATCAAATCTCTAGAGCTCTAAAACTTACGTTCTTTCCACAAGATACGATATTAGTCCCAATCATAAAGCTATCCTTCCACATCCAACAGAGTAAACTGTCAGAAAGAATACTTGCCCTCAAGCAATATTCTCACCAAGGGACGGTTCTGCACCCCCCCCCCACCCTCTAGGAACTAATGGGCAAGGACATTTTTGGTTGATACCACTGCAGAAGTGATACTGACATCTAGTGGGTAAAAGCCAGGGATCCAGCTAAACATCCTACATTGCACAGGACAGCGGCCACAAAAAAAATCATCTAGCCCAAAATGTCAATTGTGCTGTGGTTGAGAAATGCTACTCTAAAGAAATGTTTTTCAAACACGTTTAACTATGACCTTTAGTCTGAAATACAGTGCAACCTAGACACACACATCACAGATACTTCAAACAAATTTCAGGAAACACTATTTTCCTCTCTACCCTGTGATGTACTCTAATATTTACTCTTCCATTTCATTTTTTAAATGCTGTTTCTATCGGCGTTGGTGGTATAGTGGTGAGCATAGCTGCCTTCCCTTTTTTAAATGCTGTTTCTGACCCACAAAATTGATTTCATGACCCACTAATGGATTAAAGGACACACTATGAAAAACATTGCCCTACAGGAGGATATACAAGTTCTGGGCACTAAATGACCTACAAACTTGTATACTCTGATGCTTGGCAAACTCAAAAATGAACCTATATAGAACAAGACACACATAACAAACAGTAACAACCAGTGACATGATATCTCCTGTATTTTAAAAAAAAATTTATAACTAACTTTCTGTCTCACTCCACAACCTAGAATCTTACAACCTGGCTTCAAAGTGCCTCAAAAAATTGTGTGACTTAAAGACTAAAGTAAGTTTAAAAATAGATATGAAAAATAGTACAACAAAAACCCAAACACTATTATCCCAAATAAATTTTACTTTTCAGCTACTGAGCCAAACAATGTTTTGATTCAATCAAGGGAAACTTATATCCAATAAAGAAACCTCAATTAACTATTGGTCAAAACTATCTGGTCTATACAGATAAAAAAAAACTATGGCCTACACGTGAAATGTTTCGAATAAAATCATATAACAAATAGTAAGTAACAGAACTAGTAAGGTAATACTAAAAAACAAGGGCTTCAGAAGTGGGGGAATCCTATAATTAAAATTCAGGCTCTCCTAATCACTAGTTGAATTGGGAAGTTACATAATAACTAAGTCTGTTTCCTCATCTTTGAATGATGGGTAATATTTGTCTCATGGGGCTCCTGTGAGGATTCAAAGAAATAACGTAAGCCTGTAGTAAGAACTCATTAAATTCCCTTCTCCTTCCTCTCCTAGTTCTCCATTCAATATTGTCTCTAAACCAGTCTTCCCAATTCCAGTCAACTAGAGTTTTTATAGGTACGTAGAAA